GCTTCCTGGAATTTGCATAGCACCAACCTGACCGAGGTACAGAGAAACTCTCAACTCCCCATAACAAAATTAAAGTTCTCAAATATTGAAACATCATTAATTCAGCTGCTAAGATGACACCTCTCTTCCCACATCAGAATTCTAATGAGTTGGAAAGTTATTAAAGCTAGGACTCCTTTATTTGAATAAAACCATGAGTACTGACCTTCACATGGTTAGTTCGGTTTCCCCTTGGGTTATAGCATATCGAACAAGGTTTTTGATCACCAGCAATTTCAAATCTCCATCCAGATGGAACAGAGATGGCATTAGAAATGACCAACACTGTAGAGTTTTGAATTCTTGTGTGTATGTGTGCATGCATCTGCAGGTGTATGTGCATATGGAAGCCAGAAGTAAACCAGCAGGTGGCGTTCCTCGGGTGCTGTTTTTCTTTTGTTTTGACCTGTCTCTCATTTAGCCTGGTACTCACTGATTAGGCTAAGCTGGCTGGCCAGCAAACCCGGGGGATCCACCTGGCTCTGTCTCCCCAGTGCTGCTGTCACAAGCACATACCAGTACACCCTGGTTTTTAAAAATATTTTATTTTTATTTTTAAAATATTTTTATTGAAAATATTTTTTTTTAATATTTTATTTTTATTTTATGTGTATGCATGTATTGCCTGCATGTAGGTAAGTACACCCATGTCCTGCAATACCCAAGGAGGACAGAAGATGCTGTTGGATTCCCTGGAACTGGAGTTACAGACAGTTGTTAGTTGCCATGTGGGTGCTGGGATTCGAACCCAGGTCTTCTGCAAGAACAACCAGTGTTCTTAACTGCTGAGCCATCTCTCCAGCCCCTCCTTTTTTTTTTTAAATTGGCAAATGGAACACGTTTTATTTTCTCTAGGTGAGGGCACACAGGCCACTGGGCAGGTGGACACGTGGCAAGGTTCCCTTGGATCCAAGAACTTTTGTATATTTCACACAACAGTTCTTAATGAAATTTAGACCCCACCCCTCCCCCATCCATGTCCCCACATCCCCCACACTGGAACTCGTGTATTCTGCCATACACGTTAGGTTCCAACCAGTCAAGCATGTGTACCCAGATGTCCTTCAATGCAAGTTCATCCACTGGAGTCTAGTCATCCTATCTAGAGATCTCTTCACCCAGTAGTAATCAGTTTGATTACTACTTGGAACTGTTGGACAGTTCCCAGGCTAGGGCCAGCCCACTGCCCATTTCCCTCACTCTACTCTGGGCCCTTGTCTGATTGAGTTGTCATGCACACCCAGGTTTTTATGCAGGTTTTTATGCAGTTTCTGGGTTTGGAACTCAGATCCTCATGTTTGCACAGGAAGCACTTTACCAACTGAGCCCTTGGTGGATTCATCATAAAGTAAACTTGATCCCTCTCCAGTGACCTTTCTTAAAGCTGCCGTGACCCCCTAAACCAAATTACCCATGACAAACATCTGTGCTCAGCTATGAGTCACAAAAGCCAAAGTTCTGATTCCTGCCCAGTCCAGTTCATGGCCACAGAACATGCTCTATCAGGGCTCTGCTCTCAGAACCAACTGATTCCACACCTGGAATGAAGTTTCAAGAGAGTGGGTCCTGGGCATACCCCACACTATTCCAGAGAAGGCTGGCTATTCTCAGCTCCTCTCCTTCACCTCTGGCCCATTTCACAGTGCCTGGCTCATATGTCATCTTTGTGCCCCTTGCCAAGCGAGGCACAGGTCTTGAGTTCCTGCCAAGTTACCTCAGTTAAAATGTCAGCTTTGCTGCCAAGTGTAGGCTTCAGTTTCTTGACCTTAGCTGAAAAATGAGGCTAGGGCAATCTTTTCAGATCTTTGCACCAGCCCTGGTGTCATCCTGGGAACAGGGACAAAACCCATCTGAAAACGACATGAGGGAACGGTTTCCTTGGCCAGTGTTTCCCAGCTGTACACCTCCGGGTCCAAGTTTCATTCTGCCTCTGCCTTCTGGGGATAGGGAGCAAAACCAGCACAGAAAGAGCCTGCGCCTCAGAAACTTAGAACTGTGCAAAGTTACTCTGAGAAACAACAGAAGATGAGCCCGAGGTTCTCTGAAACTACTGCACTGGCCCAGCCTCATGGCCTGGCCCCTCACAGTCCCAGGCCCCTACCTCCTGACCTTAAGGTGCTCTCTGTAGCCTCACTCCCTGCAAAAGACCCAAAACCCAACATTTCAATCCTCCTGAGTGTGGGGAATAATGCAGACTTCTACCAAGCACTTCCCCAGAGTCACTGGGGATTGCACCAAACACCCTATTGTCTACCACTGATGATACGTAATATATAATTTCCCCACAACTTCTCCCCAAAAGGGACCTATTGCTACTCTGGCCAAGTGTAAGAGTCAAGGGAGGTGAAATTGGAATTTTCTAATTGTCCATCTGGGAACCCATTCTCCACCTTTACCATGTTCCTGTGCCCATAGAGAATGCTCTATGCATTACATCATTTATGCCTGCCCACTCACTGCCTTCCAGTTGGATTCAGCCAACCCTCGTAAAGACAGGATCCCCAATGAACAAACCTGATCAGAAACAAGCCAAAGGCCTTCTTCCTAATGGACTTGCCTGAGTAGAGCTCAGGGACACAGGAAATTCTGAAATTCCCACATGCGGTTTGGGTTTTTCCTTCTCCAAGAGCTCAGTATTAAAATATGAATTCCCCAGAGAAGAGTCTAACCAAGCACTCTAACCCTGGAGCCCTATCATCAGACCGAAAAAAGAGGAGGGGGAGGAATCTGAGGCCCAAAATGGAAATTATTTCCAGTTGACCTTGTGCTTTACTCCATTTACTCGGTTACCTCTACCTCCCTCTTCCTCAATTTTCAAAGAGTCTCATGTAGCCCAGGCTATGTAGCTACAGAAGACCTTGAACTCCAGATCCTCCTGTCTCCACCTCCCAAGTGCTGGGATGGCAGATGTACACCACCACACAATCCACTTATTTCTCAGCCTTCTCTTTTCTCAGAAGGTAAGAAGTCAACTCCCTTCTGGTATTCTGGCAACTTAGCACTGATGTTGATGTCCCAGGTGTGTATGTGCACCCCATCTCCGTGGCATCAGAAGCTCCTGTACCGTACCCTCACGATTCCGACACAGTCCTCTCTTCCACTTGGCTGTTCCTATATTATTTAAAATCAAACTGAATCATTCAAATTATTCAAACTGAAGGAAGTTTCTACAAGTCTCAGACTTGTAACAAAGCCAAGATAGAAGCATGGGTGGCATGGTGACACCAGGATTCACAGTTGGCATGTAAAGTGGGGCACCTTGTGGCATTGCTCCCCTTAACCTGTGAGGTGTCTGGTTAATCCAGGCAAGTAGGATCAGAACTGAACCAAATCACAGGACACAGTCAGTTGGGGCTGGAGAGCTGGTGTGAAGGTTTAACACTAAACAGAGGTTGGAAGTTTGGGGAAACAGAGCAAGCATCCCACGTGGTGCTGATATCAGAATCTCTCCCAGAGGGACACCTGGGATTATGACTGCTTGGAGATTATCAAAGATAGTTCATGCATTTTGTATCGAAGATCAGGATCTCCTGAATGGCTGGAACATCCTGAGACTAAGATACAGTAAGTGCTGAAGGTTCTTCAGAAGAAATAAACAGCAGTATTCAAAGCTAATGACAGCTGGAGCTGGAACAATGGGAAGATGCAGAGCTACTCACAGGAGGGAGTGTGGGCTGAGAGGAATGCGCATGGCAGCTTACAATGGGAGGAGCACTGTGGGGGGACTGAAGCAGGCCCCTAGCCAGGACGTCTCTTCAGCCTTGGACAACTAGGTATTGTGTAGCTGAACTCACTCCTGACCTGCTTCTCTTGGGAAGTCTACCCTATACCAAAATGAGAGATGGGAGCTTTAAAGATGGCTCAGCCATTAAGAATGCTGGTTGTTCTTGCAGAGGGTCCAGGTTCCATTCCCAGCACCCACAAGTTGGCTAACAACTGTCAAACTCCAGTTGCAGAAGATCCAATGCCCTCTTTTCGCTCCACAGGCACTGACTGCATGCATGGGTGCATTCACATGCATGCAGGCAAAAATACTCATGTACATAAAATCAAAATAAATTTGAAAAACATTTTTTTAAAACATGGCGCAGCAGTTAGGTGCCCTTGCTACACCTGTGGAAGAGCCATGTTTGGTTTCCAGCTCTCATTTCAGAGGGCTCACAATTGGCTGGAACTCTAGTTCTAGGGGACCTGATGCTCTATTCTGGCCTCTGTGGGCACCTGTACTCACATGCACATACCACCCTCCCCCAATACCCACACAAAGACACATAATTTTAAATGAAATAAAGCTTTTAAAAAAAGAATTGAGTTGTAGAGAATTCAAGCAGGGACTATATTCTGTTTCGGACTGGGGGTGGTCCTTAAGAGGCAGCGAATGTACAAGAAGTTCAAAGAGTAAAACATCAGCATTGTAACATCAGGTCAGATGTGGAACTATAAGGAAAGGAACTCAATCTTGGCCTCTACCTCATGTTATTCAGAGTGGCGTGAGCTAAATGTATAGACTCTTTTTAAGTAATAAAACTTACAAAAAAGAATATCACCATGAACTTGGGATAGGAAAAGAGGACTTAGGATGACAAAGCAGTTAAAAGGAAAAAAAAAATATTGCTTTTTATTAAAATTAAAAACTTCAGCTCATTAAAAGACACTGCTAAAGCTAGACATGATAGCTCATGCTTGTGACCCCAGAACTCACAGGGCTGAGGCAGGAGGACTACCAATAGTTCAATGTCAGCCTGGGCTATGTGACAAGTTCCAGGCTGTGCCTATGCTACAGAGCAAAACCCTGTCTCAAGATAGTCATTCTCTCTCTCTCTCTCTCTCTCTCACACACACACACACACACACACACACACACACACACACACACACACACATACACACACACACAGAGCACACATCCTTCTACTTTCCCATTCTCCACATGGGAACAAAAGCAAGTCTCCAAAACCATCTTCAAATTAAATGATAGATTTATTATGTCTCTGTTACACAACACGTGAAACAGCTCAGTTTAGGTATTCTAACCCTTGCCTGGGCTTCTGCTGTACTGAAAGGCCAGTGTCAGGTGTGTGGGCTGACACTGCGGACTGCAGAAGTAGACTTCTGCTGGCTCTCAAGTCTATGGGCTCCATTCCACAGCTTTAAAGACCTTTTGTTTTCTCTTTCACAGCATCTTCCTCTTTTCAAATTCCTTCAGAAACAGGAGAGGGAGGGGACAAAAAGAAAAAGGGTCCAAATTACTTTCATGGACAAAATGATTGTGAGCCTATTATCTCTAGAATCTTTTCATCCAAACTGTGGAAGTAAATGTACCAGGACAAGGGTATTTGCACACAAAATAACTACTTTCAGATTAGCCTGTGATAGCTCAAATCTAAGCTACAGACAGAACTTCAGCTTTGTCTTTTAAAATTAGAGGCCGACAGGCTTCAAATGCTTCTGTCTTCATTGTAGTATGATTGTTAGTTGATGAGCCTCATTCTGTTTATTCAAACCTGCAATGCCACGTGTATGAACAGAATAGGCCCCTTAAAAAGACAAAGGAGAGGATGGCTTACTTTCTCAGAAAATAAAATACAGATTCAGTTAGAATTTGAACAAGATGTCAAGAACCTTAGAAACTCCCAAAACAAAGAAAGACCTTACACAAAGCCTTGTTAAAGGGTCGGTATTAGGAACCGGATTGGAACAGCTGGAGCAGGGGCTTGCTGCCACTTACTGGAGCAAATGGGCAATGCTTCCAGTGTGAGTGTAAGCATTTTTTTTTTCCTTTTCCTCTGCTTTCAAGTAAAATTCTTCTTCATATTCTTTACTAACTACCCTCATTTCTTTCAAACTAATACATACTATATTCAAAACAAGGATTTACAAAGATTCAATCAAACAAGGAGTCTGCTTGAGTGTCCTTAAGACAAGAGCAAAGAACACACCCAATTAGAATTTCTGAATTCTCTGAAAACTGCTCCCTTCAGGAAAATAATTTGTGCCTATTTTCAGTATGGTTAAGAAACAGATTTTGTTTCTTAATAGAGAAATACATACTGAATTGTTGTGTTGTCTGTTTGGGGTTTGTTTTGTTTTGCTTTGCTTTGGAGGAGGGATTTGTCAAGGTCACAATGATCATAAAATAAGGGAAACAGAAAATAAGAAGCAAGTGAGCCTTAAATGATTATTCAAAAAGACAAAATGGTAATCACTAAGAGACCATAGAAGCTAGCAGATCCATTCTGCAGGATTTGCATCATGATGTCCCATTAAGGAGAAGGCCAAGTCATGGCCAAAGTGTTGCTCCTCTAACCTGTAAGCAACACCAGCACCTGACAAGCAAGGCTAACTGCCTGCACCCTTACCCTTAGACCACTCTTTCTCCAGAAGTCTCTAAACAGACTTTGCTTCTTGCTGCTGAGTCTGATAACAGAAACCTATGCAGTCAGAGTGGCTGCGTTCCAAGAGCCCCCCTGAAAAACACCCAACATGAAACACAGGCTATAAACCCTCCACATCCCAGAGTGCAAATCAGGGCACCCACCTCCAAAATGCTTCTGTCACTTACGGAAGAGCAGATCCCAATTTTAAAGAATAAAGTTTTTAAATCAAGAGGATTTTTAAATCAGGGGTTAGAACATTAAAGAAATACTGGAAGATCATTAAGCTGTGGGAGGACGAGGAAATCAACACCCAGAAGAACAGGCCCTTCGCACTCACCTTGTACATGGAGGAGCCCATCTGTGCTGGAGACATGCTGACCACAACTCCTGCACTCTGAAGGGCTTCAATCTTCTCTTTAGCTCCACCTTTTCCTCCAGCAATAATTGCCCCAGCATGGCCCATTCTTCTACCAGGAGGAGCAGTTAAACCAGCAATGAAGGACACTACAGGCTTGGCATCTGGGCCCTGGAGAGACATTTAAACACTATTAAGTGTTTAAAAGAAATCAGTCAAATCTGGACCTCAAATCCATGTGCTGCTAAACAGTAAGTGGCCTGGGAGGGGAAAGCCCCTCACCCAACCAAAACAAAGCACCCAAATACCCGACTGAGACTGAAAGCGTGGCTTTCTCCTTTGAGAGCCACTTTCCACAGCAGCACAGGGAAACGATCCCAAACAAACTTTTCTGTCTATTGAATACCAACATCATTACCACTAGCAGAAGCTGTTTTACAAATGCCTACGTGAATCTTTCATTTGATAATAAAAAAAAGAAGTCTACCTGAAAACTTGTGTCTTGTGAAGATAACTTAGACCTAAGATGGATAGGGCTGTTTTACTGTCACCTAACTTCATGCCTTGAGTTAGTTTATCTTTAATAAACATGCTAAAACAATAAGGGGGTATCACAAAGGGCTTAGGACTTGTGCTCAGTTGCCTACTGACTAAGGCTGCATGTCCTTGGAGCAGACACATAACTTCCGCAGCACTGTTTCCTCAGTTATGAGATGAAATGATGAACTAAGCGGTCAATAGCCCTTTCCACTATCTAAGAGAGAAGATCAAGACTGGTTGATTCAAAGGAAATACATCCTAACATACAAACTCATGTACATAATATCACTGTACTAAAGTTTAAGAAAATCCAGCCTCAGACGGACAGGCGGTTGGGAAAGGCAGAACTGTTGTAATTGCCTTTAGCTTTGACACTATACAAACTTCTTTAAATGACATTTTCCCAAAGGTTAGATGCAATGTTGGAATCTGAAACCATACATGAATTTTTGTCCTCTGTTGCTCTGAAATCCCCTACTGTCTTGGACTCTAAATGGCTCTTCTAGCCACAATGATTTTGTAACATGTACGATTAAATTGAAAAATATTGGTTCACTGAGTTGCAAACATCTTTCAAATGCTGACACATTTTATTATTCAACATCAACAAACCAGAAGCTAACATTAGTATCACCGCCAATCTCCTCAGAAAGGTCTGTTACACAAAGACAAGTTCTTAAGCTCATGGTGGCCAAAAGCGTTTTCTTTGCTCCTTGCCCTCCTAGGTTGACTAAGTTCCAGGGGACTATGATCTACGCAACATTCTTAAGTGAAACCAACTCTTCTGTTTTTTAACCACATTTACTTGGCGCTCTCACACTGACCAGGCTCCCATGTAGTGCCGCATGGTCATGCAGCTGCTCTGGCCCTAGCCCCCACCATTTTGTCTTCTAGGAACCCTGGCTTTTCAGCCTCTGTACCTCTTCTCAAAACGCTTTTCCCCTCCTTGGATCCCCGGAGAATTTTTACTTAACTTTTAGGACTCACCTCATTCCCCCTCTTCCCCTATAAGCTCTTCTCATTTCTTCTTCTCATATGCTGCACAAACGCCCTCAGCTGACCATGTCCTCAGTGACCCTGCTCGGCTTGACCTTCCACATGTTTCTATGCACACTTGGCAACTGGCTGTGACCTGCTCCTTCTAAGTTTAACTCCCTAAACATGTAGATGGCACATACTCCCTCACTTCCCTAGGCCTAGCACCCACTGCAGGACCTGTGGACAGACTCCAGCCATTTATTCATTCCCTCCCCGAATCTGGACAGAATACAAGGATCTCACATTTAAGTACTATCAACTTTCACTTGATCTGACCCCAATAGCCTCCCCACAAATGGCAATATTATCATACTAGGAAGGAAAAGATTATAAGTTTAGAATGCTAAATAAATTTACACTCTGTCCTATTGGCAAAGAGTCACTGGACATTTCTGAAGTGGAGAAAAATAGAATTAGATTACAGAGATGTATAGATAGGAAACAGAACAGAGAATGATAAATATGAAAAGCTTAAAAATGGAAAGACCACTGCGATGGTTCAGTTCTGCTTAGCACAGGCCAGGACTGCTGAGTCCTCCCCCTTCACCTCAGAGTCTGCCTGCTTAATTCTTCAGTACAAGCCAAGTATTGTGTTAACTATTTTATATAACACTTTGTCTAAATTGCTTAACCTTGGGCCATTTGCATATTAAGTTCTCAAAAAAAAAAAAAAAAAGAGCTCTGCAAAAACTAACCAGAAATAGAAAAACATACACCAACTGAAACAAAATGCTCATGTTGTTTTGTCAATAAACTCATAAGCTATTCAAGGAATTCAGAATTGGGTATAAATACATTTAATATTTACTTTAACAGTATAATGTTATAGCAATCTAAATGCTTTATTCTAAAGAGAAGCCAGTTTTTACTTAAATTTCAAACTTTAAAAGTTTTCTGAGGGGCTTGGGGAGAGGCTCAGTGGTTAAAGTTCCCAGTACCAATATTAGGCAGCTCACAACCACCTGTAACTCCAACTCCAGGGGATCTGACACCCTCTTCTGGCCTCCACAGGCACCTGAACTCATATGTATACATAGCCACACACAGACACACACATATTCACATAATTAAAAATAAAATAAATCGTAAAAACAAAAAGTTTCTACATTTAAAACAATCTTTTATTCCAATCTAACAATCTACTCTCTTTTTTCATTTATTCAACATTCATTGGTGCTTACTATGTCAGAAAATTGTGCTGGGCACCCACCTAGAATACCATGGAGTCAGTGAGTCCAACTATGAAATACATCATCTAGAAAGAAGCAAAGGCAAATGAAACTGAAAACTGACAAGTCCAGTGGGACATGGCTGTAGACAGGCAGTGAGCAGGCGGCATGAGGAAATTGAGCATATAAACTTAGCCAGAGTCTTCATCGGTGTGACAGATACCACACTGACGGACGTTAAAGGGGAAAGATTTATTTTGGCTCATGGCTTCAGAGGTTTCACTCAGCCCATGGTCAGCAGGCTGAGCCGCTGTGGTATGTGGTGTGTCAGAACATCGTGAAAGAAAAAGTATGTAACAGAGCAAAGCTGCTGTCTCCTGGTGGCTAGAAAGCAGAGGGAGCTAGAGAAGAAGGGTCAAGAGGCACAATAAAGTCCCAAGGACACACTGCCGGTAACTAGGGTCCACCTCTTGAAGATTCCAGAACTTCCCAAAACAGCACCACCAGCAGAGGACCAAGCCTTTCACACAGAAGCCTGAGGGATACTTCATATTCCCATTGCAACACTCAAATGTAATAGGAAATACTGTTTGGTTTTAACCAGAGACAAAAGGTACCAGTACCTGCTTCAGAAGGGCAGGTAAGCCGAATGGCCTTGGAGGGGAAAAGGATGGTTGGGGGAAAGGTGTGGAGACACTGGGAAGGCACTACTGAGACAGTCTAAGTGAAGCAGGATGCAGGCTCAGAGCAGGGCAGAGTGGGAAATTGCAGATGGGATTCTGAATCCCGACATATCACCAAGGTCTCAGAGACAGAGCCTAGGAGTTGTGTGGAAAGAGAGGAAGAGACAAATAAAAGGTAGTGCTGAGGTTTGGCTTCTGCCGTGGAAACTGCATGAAGCAAGATATGGATCATATAAGATAATCGTTCACAAAGAGAAAAGCTATGAAAAGTACCAGCACGATTCCACAGAAGCTACGACGACTAAGTGGGGAACCCTGGGAACTTCTAAATTCATTTTAAGAGACAGACTCAAAGGAAACTGAACAGAAGCAGCAACAACAGCTCAGTATGTGCCAAGTCCCGCTTCATTACATACTGCTGAGTCATTCAAACTTTGTAACCCTTACAACCATCCCAGGAGGACTGAACTTTACCAATGAGGAAACTGAGCAAGGACAAAGAAACATTTTCAAAGTCAGTAGTTTCTAACAGGCAGGCAGAAACCAAACTACTGAGGATCAGGGGAAACAAGGGTAAGGAGAGAGATCTAGAATGAGAAGATGCTACACCTTCAAGTTTGGGCTTAAAAATCACCACAGAAAATTAAGAATGCTCAAAATAGCCCGTGAAAATTCCCTAAAGTACAAATAAGTGAGCGAATATACTTTTGTGCATACCAGACTACAGGTGACATTAATGGTTCCCTTAACACCGCCATATTCATTACTTTTTCTGTGTGGCATTCACTCCAACTTTTTTCTAAAGTACTGACAGAAGGCTATCTTCACTCTTGCTTGGCCTCCTAAAGATGTTTCCTCCCCACTGACCAGTGATGGAAGAACTTTTGATGACTTACCAAACAGCTATCAGATACTGACCATAGCACAGCCAGGGTGCCCTTGCCCCAGGCATCAATACATCTCCTTTTTCACCCCTCACCACCTGATAACATCTCAGCAAAGGAGCTCGGTTCCCTTCAGCTGGCTGGGATCATGATTTGACACCACACTCCTTTATATATCTAAGGCTATGGCACAGACAACAAGGAGGGCTTCCCGAGCCTATGTAGAGATCTGTACCTGGTCTGTGAAGAGAAGGCCATTTTACAAGGAAAGACAAGCTAGCAGGAGGCCAGATCATGGAGGATATGAGGGAAAGGAGCCGTAGAGAGTCAGTCTTGAGAAAGACAAATTTTTCCCAAGAAACCAAGAAAAAGAACACACGCCACAGGTACAAACATGCCTGCAGGAATGACCTTATTAATGGACATAATCTGAGTGAATGCCTTTTAATTTACCCCAGCAAAACCATGCACTGTAGGGTCTGATGACTGGGGTGTCTCCTTGGCAACCACAGTTTGTAGTCACCCAAAAAGATAATAAATGTGGGTTTGCTTGAGAATTAACGTATCCCCCCACCCCACTGATACAGTGGAGGCAGGGGAGGGAGGGTGAGCTTGGATGGCTGTGAACTAGGGATGAAAAGACAGGATGGTCTGTGAAGGTTAAGAGTGGAATAACGCAGAACTTGAGCTGGTACTTCCCTAACGACAGCTCCACCTGCACAGGTTAAGGGGAAAAGAGATCCATCAGCACAGTTCTGGGGGACAGGCAGTTCTAATAGACAGCTAGAGTGTCCTAGTTTGTTCTTCATTGCTGTGACAAAACACTCTGACCAGTACCAACTTGGGGAGGAAAGGGTTTATTTGTCTTACATCTCCCAGGTCGCAGTTCATCATCAGGGAGCCCAAGGTAGGAACTCAGGGCAGGAACCTGGAGGCAGGAGCTGGAGCACAGGCCATGGAGGAACGCTGCTTACAGGCTTGCTCCCCTGGCCCCTGCTCAGCCTGCTTTCTTATGCAACACAGGCCCACCTGCCCAGGGGTGGCACCAGCCACAGTGGGCTGGGCCCTCCCACATCACTCATCAAGAAGATGCCCTTCAGACATGGCCACAGGCTAGTCCAATAGAGGCAATTTCCCGATTGAGGCTCCCTCAACCCAGGTGTGTCAAGTTGACACTAAAGCTATCCAGCACATAGGGCAACGAGAGTTCAGGCCCGCTCTATGTGTCCGGTGATTATGATGCTGCAGTAATAATAAGCAATAACTCTACACAAGCCTGTAGGTCAAATGGGAGAGTTCAAACTGTTGACCTGAAGGTTCTGCACCCAGCAGGAGGTCAACATCTCCACCACAAAGTGTGAGGTAAGACCTAGAGAGGAGGATTCACAGGAGAAGTGGCGAACAAGCATTATGGGAAGCAGCTGAGTATTTGGTACAGAACAGAAAGCCCAGATGAGAAAGTTTTAAAGTTAGCTCTCAATTTTTCTTGAAAAACTAATCCATGAAAAATAAAAGTAACTTCTAAAACAAACCCCCAATGCTAGTCAGACTCAAACTTACTGAATTACGCTGCTTCAGAAACTCTGCAGCATTTTCTTCAGCATGACCACCAATTTCACCAATCAATATGATGCCTTCCGTGGCTGGGTCACCCAGGAAGACTTCAAGGCAGTCGATAAAATCCGTTCCATTAAAAGGATCACCTCCAATGCCTGAGAAGGTTCAAGACTGGCAACATCAGTCAAAAATGTAGGACGAACCATGAGACTCAGATCAAGAAACATCGTTCTAACTCATTTTTAGTCTGTCTACCCCTTCTCCTTAATCTTTGAAAATGCATCCCCACTCTTTCATGTAACACTCAAAAAAAAAAAAAAAATACACAAGAGGGTACTTATTTCTCTGTGTAATATTATATACATATAAATAGTGGTTGGTTGCCCATCTCCACAAAAACCCTAACTACAAAAACGTCTTCCCTCCCACATAATTATTCCACACTAACTCTTTACAAATGTGCAATTTTAAATATGTGTTTAGAGGGCATGGTGGCACACACCTTTAATCTCAGCATTTGGGAGGCAGAGGCAGGCAGATCTCTATGAGTTCGAGACCAGCCTGGTCTACACAGTGAGTTCTAGGCCAGATGGGGCTACAGGGAGACCCTGTCTCAAAAAGTTTTCTCAAAAAGACCAAAAAAAAAACCATGTTTGGGGCATGAGTCTCTCATGCTTATTCTTGAGTCTACTTCTTTTAAGTATGTACATAATAAACTTGAATTTTTGCTCAAAAATAGGAGAGAGAAATGTGTATTTGCATTACTAGAAGCTAAAATTCACATCATAGGAAAAGATTAAACATTTTGGAAATTTCTTTGCACAAAGAAATTTTTGGACAAAGCATACTGCAAAGAAATCACTCATGAGTTTTAAGACATGCATCAGTGAGTACCAGGATAAAAGGTTCCCCCGATCCTCTTCCTGAACATCCAGAGTTGGGAAATGGCAGGGCCTGCACAAGGACTCTATTCTAGCCATATGACATTAGAACCGGAACTAGGGTGGCATTTTAAAGCAAATGTTCCCTTATTGCCTAACTGCCAATTATTTTTTTTAAATTATAAACTTCTTGTGGGCAAGACTGATTTTTTACTTTTCAATATACCTCTGAGAAACAAAGTTGAGTCCAGTCCTGTGCTTTGCTTAGCACACATCAGACCTGCCACTGGCACATCCCCCAACTTCTCTGTGAGACGAGTATCACCACCTCCATTTACACGTGGGAAACTGTACCTCCAGAAGACAGGATTGGCAAATCTGTCTCAAAACCTGTTCTTAGGCTGCACTGTACCAAACGCTCTCATCCCTAAGACTGTTTTGCAAGTACAAATGTTCAAGTCACATTTTCAGTTTGCACTTCCTTACTTAGAACACTCCAGGGCTATATTTTACAACCTTTATTGTAGAAAGATACATTTCTAAATTTTTTTAAATTTTATGTGTACACGTATATCTTCTGCATGTGTGTAAGTACACCAGTGCTATGCAATTATGCAATGCCCGGGGAAGTCAGAAGAGGGCGTCAAATTCCCCTAGAACTGGAGTTACAGATAGTTGTTAGCTACCATGTGGGTGCTGGAAACTGAATCCGGGTCCTCACAAGAGCAGCCAATGCTTTTAACCGCTAAGCCATCTCTCCAGCCCATTAAAAAGTCAAGGTCAGCCTGGTTTACATATGGAATTCCAGGCCAGCCAGGACTACGTAGAGAGACCTGATGTAAAAGAGAGAGTGAGAAAGAGTGAGAAAGACTTGCCTCATTTGGGTAAAAAGACAAAAGGATAAGCTATTTCAAGATGTAAAAACCTGTTGAAATTTTCACTTTGTAAGCATTAGGCGGCAAGGTGTGGTGCAAAGAGAAGTCCTAGGGAATGTAATCTTCCTCAACCTTGACTTTCTGCCCAATAAGGCTACAGCACAGCACACTGTCAGCTCAGGGGTGTCTCAGGAGTTTGCCCGAAGACAAAGACAGTGCAAAGAATTCAATACCATGAAGTACAGACCAGAACTATGACAATAACAAAAGGCCAAATATAAGGGAGCAAAACTAGTGATGTTTTAGAACGACAGTCTCACAGTCAAATCTTGAAACGATACAGTTAAGTCTCACACGTAAGCAAATATGAAATAACATCCTTTTAGTAAAATGGCATTGAAGCCTCCTATAAATAATCAAATAAGTACTTATCGCTGTACTCATTCCACAATGCTACTTTCCGATAAAAGAACTGTGGCCAAACGCTCTCACCAATACACAAAGACTGCCCCAGTCCAACTTGGGTTGTTTGGTGAACGGCTTCGTAAGTTAGGGTGCCAGATCTGGATACAATACCTTAAAACAAAGAGAATAAAAAATATCAGATTGTGTTTATGATAGACCAGCAGAAGGTAGACCCAACTACAAAGGCTCTGAGTTACTAAAATGGGTCTGTGTAAAAGTCATTTCATGCTTTGCCACTCAGATCAACAACAACTTCCAATGAGGAAATAAGAAGAAAAAGCTCATTAAACGCAGAAAGATTTTCTTTTTTAAAATCAGACAAACAAAAAAATATGTTATTAGTTAAGGTTCTTTTATAAGAGCAATGCAAAGACAAAAAATCAAACAAACAAAAAAAATCCTTAAAATGCCTCTTCTGAGACCCTTTACGAAAAAGATAATCTCAATATGAACCTGGTAGGCACAATCCTGCTTAGGGTAGCAGTATATAGCAGGCTGTTTTAGATACTCCAGCCACTACACCATGAAAACCAGCATTAATCATCTACCTGCACCCTCCCCACCACAACTATTTTTGCAAGAATTTTCAAACAATATATGAGCAAGGTCCCTCTGGATTCATCCAGTCTCCCACTTATTTACTTTCTGCAATGAGCCTGTGTGGAGAGCATGTAAGTTCACAACTGCAGGAGACGTGTAGGGAAGAAGAGAGGCAGGTGGAGGGCAGCTGATTAGGGCTCACACAACTTGTCTGGGCTTCTCAAAGGGAACTGCCTCATGCAACGATCTATGTGGTACTTAGAACAGAGCATACATAATGGGTAGATACCTAATTTGAATAGGATACAAGTATAAATAAACGAGTAACTTTAGTTATTACAATGTATTAAATTTTTAAAAGGTTAAATAAAACCCAGCATCAGAGCAGTGACTCTGGAGTGTGAGTAACTCCAGCATGTCCATGGTTTGCTTTACTTAAACTTCTGCTTTGGGGCATTTGTTAAGAACTCACAAGATTGTTCTAACAGTATACTCCTCATGTCAGAGCAAGTAGAATTCTTGTCTGATAAAAGCAAAAACCATTACCACCAACTACCTCATCTTCAGTGCAACATGTTCACAGTCATAAGCTATCTGCTGTATTGCCACTGTCCCTGAATTCTCACAGGTTTGAAGTATGTGATCTGTGTAAATCAGACCATCTCACTATGAATTCAGGCACAAATAACTGCAGATTCTCCACATCAACCAGTCCAACTAGAAGTGTGAAGCATGTGGACATGCAGCATACCACCAGGTTATCTTTTAGATGAATTTCACATAGCCCCCCAACAATGCCTTGCTTCCTAGGGAACTCTGCACCACCTCCCCAGCCAGCATGGGCCCAGCCTACACTCCAGACTTGTTTCCTATTCTTTCCTATTCTAAAGAACTATTCCTCAGTTAGACTTCACACCTTCCTACCTTTTCACATTCATTTTGCTTAAAATAGAGCCCCTCACCTCCACCATCTGACAAAAGAAAAAAACTAACCATCCATGAAAGTCAATGTCAAAAGCTTGCATGCCACTTTCTCCTAAGGTCTTTCTGGACCTCCTCCAACAGAAATTAGGTAAGTTCTCCTTCTCCAAATCTTTGTGCTTCCATTTCTCATTGCTCTTGGTTGGTTTCTTTTTAAAGATTTATTTATTTCATTTACTTTATGTGTACGTATGTGCCTGAGTGTATGTAGTATATGTATGTGCACCACATGTGTGCAGGCAGTTGTGAGTCACCATTCGGTGCTGGATGCCGAACCTGGGTCCTCTTAAAAGAGCTGCCAGTGCTCTTAACCACTAAGCGTCTCTCCAGCCTCTCTTACTACTATTAATACTGGAACATAAAGAGAAGTTACGTCTTACATACCGTAAGTATTTATAGGTAAAAATAACTTTCTTCACTAAATGGCTCACTCTTAACCCCAATGTTACCATAAGGCACAGGAAGAGCACTGTGATCCACTCCCCTTCCTCCCCAGGCCAGGGATAGTCCTATTTCCAAACTCTGAGGACAGAGCAGGGATGGTAAGATGAACACGGAAGAGCTACAGTGATCCGGACACAACAATTTTTTCTTCATCTGGTGTTGTAGCAAATACTACAAAGTATTAGCAGCAGGCCATTCAAAACAGATTGAAGCGTAGGAAGAACACTTAAACACAAATGAGAAACAGGCCCCACTGGGGTTCCCTATACTCTCCCTAAGTGAACTTACCAAGTGCTGACAGCAGGAATGACAATTGCAAAGGAGTAAATAATGAATAAAATCCATGACCTTTAAACCCAGTTCTGCAGACCATACCATCAACATTCACCTACCATGGTAATTATTCTTATTTAGCATTAATGGTTTTGGTTTACAGACAGAGTGTAACACTGTCACCATCTATAACTGTTAGAGAAACAGTACAGCTTAGTGAAAGTTAGCTACACAGAATCTAAAAACAGGCATAAGACAGCTAAATTTGAAATGTCAATCTGGACATTTCCTTAAAGAACTAACCAAAAAGAGGCACAATTTTCCCAAGGCATTTTGAGAAAGCTTGTGACACACAGGGGAGCAAAATCATCCTCAGACAGAACAGTACTGATAAAAGTATTCTTAACATATATACCTAACAGATATAAAGTTCTATAATCAACAACAAAAAGACAACCCAATAAAAACAATAGACAAAAATTTAAAAGAAATACTTCCCGAAGAAGGCACATGAACGGCATTCAAAGGTACCGTATGCCATCAGTCATCAGGGACATCAAGTTAAAAACACAATGTGATACCATTTCACTCCCCAAAGAACACCTACACCGAAGAAGACTAAATACTATTTGTGAGGATGTGGAACAAAGGAAACACTCATCTATGACGATGAGAATATAAAATGGCAGTCACTTCCTAGAGCTATCTGGCAACTTTTGTTCCTATCTATTTTGTCCAAGAGCAATGAAAGTGCATCCATTAAAAGGTCTGCATTTTTGCCTTGTTCTTTAACATTCAAACCTAAAAACTACCCAACACAACTGAAATGGTCATATGAGAAAACGAATAAACCAACTGTAGCAGAACCATAGAGAAGAGACAGCTGCTTAGTAAGACCATGATATTTACTATTGATACATGTACACAGAAGATTCCAGAATGCTGAGCAGAAGAATCGCTACCTCTCTCCACATCTGCACTGACTCTGCACAATTATAATAGCTTCTCCAAACAAACATAGTCACTACAAAACTTCCCTGATAAATTCTATTAAAATTAAATTAATTAAAATAATTTGATTTTCAGTCACAAATTCTCCAAGAGTTTTGAGTTAGGGAGAAGAATCTTTTCTCATCAGAAAGTTAACAAGCCAACTTACCAATTTTCCCTTTCTTGTGGATATGGCCAGGCATGATGCCAATTTTGCATTCTCCAGGCTAAAGAAAAGTAAATTGTAGTTTCAGAAAAGTTCTAAAAAGGAATCTACCACCTACATCTCACACGCACGCATACACACACGCACGCACACACATACACATACAAATGTACTTGGACTAAGTCAATGTTGTTCGGTATTGGGAGAGGTTAAATCTGGGCTTCTTTGTATTTTGTGCACTCACGTTGATGACTCCCGGGCAGTTTGGCCCAATTAGCCTCGATTTTGCCTGGTGTACCAGTCTGTGCCTGACCCGTACCATATCCTGCTGTGGGATACCTTCGGTAATACACACAATCAAGGAAATTTCTGCATCAATGGCTTCCTCAATGGCGGCGGCAGCAAAAGGAGGAGGAACATAAATAACAGAAGCTGTTGCTCCTGTATTTTCTTTGGCCTGAAATATTAATCACAAAGCACTCTGACTGTTGAGGCATAAACATTATACAATAAATTCAACAGCATTTCATGAATGTCTAGGTAGGGCTCACAAACAGGAGCTCTTTATTCTTCCCATTTGTCAGGTCAGCACACTGTCAGGATGGAGCAGAATCAAACCCAACCTCTTCTCTGTCCTATATGAATGCCAATTCAAATTCACTCCCTAAAAAGGCAGTAAATCTGAAAGTACTGCCTGGTTTGCACTTGTGCTCCTCCCCACAAGGCCACCCACAGCTCTGTAGTCCCCAGACTCATACACAAGATACAGTGCCATGTATCCAGCAGCAAAGCCTCTGCACCTCCTTACAAGAGCAAGGACCAGGGGTCTCAGAGCTTGGCTTTCAAACATCTAGTTGAAAATGTATTATATAAGGCAAATACTATCAAGAAACAGTAAAAAGAGAGTGCTACTTGTTTCTTGTGTGTGTGTGTGTATCTGTTTGTATGCATGCATAAATGTGCATGCCCATGGAAATCAGTAGAGGGTGCCAGATCTCCTGGAGTTGGAGTTATAGAAGGTTGGGACCTGCCTGATGGGATACCGGGAATGGAACTCAGGTCCTCTGAAAGAGCAGCAAGTGCTCTTCAGACCCTAAGCAGGGTGTTCTTACCCAACATTTCTTTTTTAAAAAATGTTTTATTTATTATTTTTTGTGTATTACTGTATTGCCTGCATGCATGTAAGTGCATCCATATCATGCAATGTCCATGGAGGTCAGAAGAGGGCACTGGATTCCCCTGGAACTGGTATTAGGAAGGGTTGTTAGCTGCCATGTAGGTACTAGGAATCAAACCCAAATCCTCTGCAAGAATAGCCATCTTAACCACTGAGCCATCTCTCTAGCACCTTACCTGACATTTCTTACTGAGTGCATATTTATTAGAAATAAACAAATCAAGCAAAATGCATATATATTAGTGACTACATGGTATGTCAATCTGTCTCTACAATTCACTCTGTTCACATAGGGCCACACTATCCTGAGGTACTCTGAGTCTACCACTTATCAGCTATGAAACCATGGGTGGGACCCTTAGACTCTGTACCAACAGCAAGCATCCTGAGCTTCCAAATGGAGAAAAGAACAGCGTGGAAGGACCGTGGTGAGGCCTGGCTGGCACAGCGTGCATGAAGCACTCAGCACAGTCCTGTCTCACAGTCCACACTCAGAAACAGGGGTAACCACTATTCTAGAAGAAAGGTAGGTTAGGAGCAGACGATAAGCCTGACAGAAGCCAGGCCCATAGAACATCTTCCCTTAACAGATGATACATGTCTCTAATAAAAAAAAATTACAACCTGGATTTAACGGCAATTCCAACTTCTATGATTCCAACTTCTCTAGGTTACTGGATATTTAAATAGCAAGTGACTCTCCCAAAGGGAAACAAAGGATGCCTGCTTCCTTTTCTCACCAGACTTGGGTACCACTACTTTTACTTACCTCCTTCACAGTATTAAAGATGGGTAAGCCCAGGTGTGTTTTACCACCCTTCCCTGGAGTGGTTCCTCCCACAAGTTTCGTGCCATAATCTAAGGCCTGCTGGCTATGAAAGGTGCCCTGCAAGGAAAAAGCACAAGACCCATGAAAAGAGGCAGACTGAGAAGTAAAGGCAATCTTAGTAACTTGGGAAAGCAAACCAAGCATGTTAACTGCTCCCAGGCAGTAGTCCTGATCCAGGATTCTCATCTATTTATTAAGCACCATTGTTAACCCTGAAGCAGAGTTTGTTTCTGCAAAGCTAATGAACTTGGTCACTGACCAGAAACACCCTATTGCTTAAAAGGCGATCTCATTTTTACCATCCCATTTCCTTAGTTCCTTGCACTCAACTTTACCCAGTTCCAAATCCATAACAGATCACTGGACTTGCCCCAGGCTCTCACTTCAAATTACACAGATGGCAAAAACCACAACTTGGCTTAATCCAACTTTCCCCTATGAAAATACATGCAGCCAAATATTAACTACAGAAAACACAAGACTGTGCAAGGATCAGTCAAGTCTCAGTGAGTCTTTCAAATTGCTCAGCCAACTTCCTGAATCTCCATGCCCATTCACTTTCCTGACTCAACCACAGCAATATTGGCATTTTAGACATGGTGTTTCCTCATTATAGGAGATCATCCTGCATTGTGCAGGATGTTCAATGGTGTGTTGGATAGCTTTAGTGTCAACTTGACACACCTGGGTTGAGGGAGCCTCAATTGGGGAATTTCCTCTATTGGACTGGCCTGTGGCCATGTCTGAGGGGCATCTTCTTGATGAGTGATGTGGGAGGGCCCAGCCCACTGTGGGTGGTGCCACCCCTGGGCAGGTGGGCCTATGTTGCATAAGAAAGCAGGCTGAGCAGAAGTCAGAGGAGCAAGCCAGTAAGCAGAGTTCCTCCATGGCCTGTGCTCCAGCTCCTGCCTCCAGGTTCCTGCCCTGAGTTCCTACCTTGGGCTCCCTGATGAACTGCAACCTGGGAGATGTAAGCTGAATAAACCCTTTCCTCCCCAAGTTGGTATTGGTCCCAGTATTTTGTCACAGCAATGAAGAAACAGACTAAGACAAATGGTATTACCACCCTCTTCCCCATATATGCCAGTATCACACCCTCATTTCCAAATCCATCTAGTTGTAACAACTAAAAACAGCTCCAAGCATTGGAAGACACCCTATGGGCTTCTGCTTCCCCTACACTTCCTCTTCTCTTCTCTCCTTTAGCTTCTTCCCCTTTCTATGTGACACTGTACCCGTGGTGGCGCCATCCTTACAATGGCAATGAACAGCATCCACATGGTAACCCTGTCATTGACACACACCTCACACTCCTAGCCATGATCTCTGCCTGGAACTCCATACACATTCATTTGCCACCTGACATCTCCACTTGGACAGACAGCTAGTAGACATCTCTGATTTAACATGCCCCAAACTGGGCTCTCGATCAGTCCCTTCTCAATCGACTCCATCTGTAAATGGCAATTCCACTCCCATAGATGGTCACACCAAAAAGAGGTCATCCTGGATTCCTCCCTGTTATATCCTGCATCAGACTGGTAAATTCTACTGCTATATCATCAAAACAATTAACAACTTCTTTTGCCGCCTACTGCCTTGGCAGTGGCCTCAACGCTTGGTACACTACTGCCCTTCCCTTGAAGTCTGTTCTCCACAGAGGCGCTATTCTGTAAAACCTATGAAGATTGGGTCACTCCTCTGCTCAAATCCTCCAATCTTTTTCCATCTCCTTCACAATGAAAGTACAGTCTATCTCGATGGGCTCATCACACCTACTGGCTCTCACTTCATGTTGTCCAGTGGTTTATTTCAATCCAGTCACATTGACCTTCCAGCTTCCACATAGCAGGCACATGCCTGCCTGACAGCCCTGCTGTGTCTTAGGCATGAAACACACTTCCCAGGTAACTTTCTCTGACCACCTGATAAAAAAATCTTCTTTCCCATTCCAACCACACTACTCCACACATAACCCATACATTCCCCCTTTCCCTGATTTGTTTTTCCATAGCAATCACTCTTTCTAATACAATACATAATTTGCTCATGGATTTCGCCAATCTATTTCCTCCTCTCCACTGAAAAGTGCATTCCATGAAGATAGTGATATATATCTACTGTGCTCATGGGAGTATGGCACCTAATTCAACATACAACAAGGATTCAATCAACAGTTCTGAAAAATGAATGGGACTATGTGATCATTCTACAGGAACCTAAAAATGCTGAGCCAACTACTCAAGTTCTCAATTATTTAAGGCATAAAAATGGGGGCCTTAAGGAGTTTAAAAATTAAATTTCTCTTTAAAGTAGTAAACTTGGCTCCAAGCATGTTAAGCAATTGGTCTAAAGGTAATGACAGAATTTTAAAAGAGCTGTAAGCCAGTGCTCTGTTTCTCTTTAAGTGGTGCTAGTGCACGTATGACCACACATGCAGACATGCTGATCTGAAGTGACAAAAGAACAAGATGAAAGAGAAATAGAAAAGCATGTTTGCAAACAGCAGTGTACACTGATGTGACGTTCACTGTGTTCTACACAAGTACAGATTCAGATTAGATAAGAAAGTAAAAGCAAACACCCACGCTGGCTCCACAGTTTGAGAAGCTCTGGCCTAGATTACTCTTCCAGGTAAATTCCAATGAATCATTTTTTTAGTCCTAATGTGTTACTAAATAGAGGTGACATTTGCATTCAAAATTAGCTCTTTTCAAGCCAGGCGTGGTGGCACACACCTTCAGCCCCAGAACCTAGGAGGCAGAGGCAAGAGGACCTCTGTGAGATTGAGGCCAGCCTGGTCTATATAGTGAGCTCCAGGCCAGCTGGGGCAACCCTACCTCAAAAAACCAAAACAAAACTTTTTTTCTTAGTTTTCGTATTATCACCAGTCATTTTTAGCTGCTCATAAAAGCTAGTAAAGGGCTGGAAAGATGGCTCAGTGGTTAAGAGCAGTGGCTGCTCTTGTAGAAGACCCATATTTGTATCCCAGCACCCACACAACAGCTAACAGTTGTCTACAACTCCAGTTCCAGAGGATCCCACACCCTCTTCTAGGACTCCATGGGCACCACATGACATGGGTGCACTTGCATGCATTCAGCAATACACTCATGCACATAAAATAAAAATAATAAATTTTAAAAATTATTTTTTTTGAAAGCTAGTAAAGAAATCTTCAGGTACCCACTGGAAATGTGCACTGCTGGTATCTACCCTAATATACAAACATTCCTAATTTACATGCTGAATACTGTTTGCACCAAGAAAAGAACTAACGTGACAAACAGCAAGCTTCCACAGAGGTGAGCTGTAGACTTCAGAGTCAAAAAAAAAAATCTAATCAAGACAATTAAGGCATTCAGTTACTTAAATGCAAAAACAAGGGAAGTGAACGAGAAACAGCTTGATTGGAGGGAACTAAAAGATTCTAAAACCAACCTTAGATTTAAAGATTTAGGCAAATCATCACCTAATCTAGAAAGCTTAGTCAGTTCCAAACAGTGCTTATGCACTGGGCAATAGTTCTTAAAAGAATCTCAGAGGTTAAAGTGTCCTAAGACTATCATATAAGGTTCAGCAGACAGAAAAAGTAGCTGTGCATAATAAACTTCTATGAGAAATTTGGGTTAATCAAGAATTTAATTACATGTTAATAATATTAGCAGATATAAAAACAGACTGAACGTAATTGGAAAGATAACGGTAGAAAGCACTTCAAATCCTGAACGAGCATCTGCTTCCCCTAGAATGTTCATCTATTACTTATGAAAACGTTTACAGGTGGAGTGATGTTCATAAACGACTGGTGATTTTGGTGTCAACCTCAAGACCAAAGTTTGGCAAACTCGCCCTGTGAGATTCAGCAAGTCATCTGGTTTTGTAAGTTACATTTCTTTGGAGCACAGCTCTACAGTACAAATGCTTGTAAATTTAAAATGCTTGTATATGTGTTTTTAAAAATGAGACACACAGACCACAGAAATCAATTAGAAGAGCAAAAACCAAAAAGCCTTGCTCTGCACTCCAGATCTTTCCTTTACTGAGAACAACAACTATGTAGCTTTTTCTGAACTGAAAAAGAAATACTGAAGTTCACCATTTTCATTCCTCAGAAAGAAAACTGGGGTCCCTGTATTTTTCATCTGGAAGGGCATACGCCAACTTAATGGAAGGATTCTTGGCATAGGGTGGTTGGCAATAGGGAAAGGAGAGTCTTATGTTGGTATTAGTGTAGAATCAAATCGTAGATACATTTCAACTACGCAAATTCTATGACAGAAGCAGGGGAGAAGGAGAATGTATGAATATTAAGTGAATGAAAACCAATTCAAGCACTTAAAGGCACTTTGGCTGCTGGTTTCTTCGAAGACCACCTGCTCCAGAGAGAGTACATGATAAGAAACATCCAGTCTGTATCTGTGTGCCACAGTGAACTGTGGGTGGATTCCAGGGTTAACAATAAGCAGCTCCTTATAAAAGACCTTGACACAAATAATCTATTTACCTGATGGTCAAAGAAACAGTGACCCATCACATTGTTAGAGGAAGATCATGAGTCTTGTATTTGCTGAAACGTAAGTGAGTCTCCAACACAGTGCATTTTCAAGGTAAGTTTAGAGACAATTCCATCCTACAGGCTCACCATATCACCTAAGTTCTTCCTAGTATACAACCCCTCTTCTGTACAGTATCTTTTTTCTGTACTGATCATACATCAGTGATAGTAAAAGTAGAAAATAGTTCTTTTTTTTTTTATATCTTCAGTCTATTCTTCAAATAAAAAAACTAAGACACTTACCTGTTTGCCAGTGAAACCCTGGCAAATAACCTTCGTAGTTCTGTCAACATAAAGGTTTTTCTGGGAAGCAGTATAGGAGACATGCCGTATTCCATTCTGTTGCACTGAGAAGTAAAGAAAATACAACACATTAGAACTTCTCCATACTTCTGAACTCAACTTGGTGACCAAATTAAAAAAAAAAGCTATGCTGTGATCATAGTGATTTAATTATTGCTTCTTAAAATGAGACATGCACATCACAGACATAAACTAGGAAAACAAAGGCCTTATTGTACTCTGCAGGGTCTTTTTGCTGAGAACCACAATCTTGTGGCTCTTACTGAAGTGGCAAAGAAAAGCTGAAACATAATTCCCATTCCTGAGAAAGGAACGCTGGGAATCAACGCTGGGAATCAAATTTAAGGGTTGCATATTAAACTCAGGAACTGAAAAGCAGGGATCACGCCTACTTATGTTTACTACAAAGCCATTGCCTTTTGAAGCCCAATACTTGTAAGTAACAGATGAGCTGAGAGGCACGCTTTGTCAGGAATGCGAGGACTCTGCAACCCATTCCTCAATAAGAATACCACAGTAAATGCTAAGCCACAGAACCAATCTGTCTAAAATATACTCCAAGATCACTTCATGTGGTCTCTTCTGATGTACAACTCAAGAGCTGACAAATAAAAAAGGGAAACTAAAAGGGATGCCAAAGTAGATGAGCGGAGAAGTTAAAAACAAGAAAAACTTCCCAGGTTACTTCCAGCAGCCCACCTCAAGGGAGACTGAGAAATCTCAGGAGTTACCACTACCTATTTCAAAAATCAGTGTGAGGAAGAGCACGTGACGATTATGAACTGTCTTCTAAGCCTCCACTAGAGCCACCAGCCTGCCTTCTCTACAGCCCATCCCGGGCTTCTTCAAAGTAGCTGGGCTTTCAACCTACCACAGAGTAGCCTATGGAAGCCAGCCCCAAAACAAAGCTCTCTCCTCACATATTTCTCCAAAGCCCACCCCACATGCTTTCACACCACCTAGTCTTCAGACCTCAGTTACCATATCTGGAAGAGAACCTTCTGGAAGAAGCATCTAGAAACTTGAGGCTTTAGAGAAGAGAAAGGCCTAGACTTCACCCTGAACCTCCAGGAGAGAAGTATTTTGATGTACACAGAACTTCTGGTTAACAGTTTGTGTTCTCACATGCTGTACAAGGGGCCCTAAGAATGCTCTGTAATCAAGTCCTGGCACAGTTGGCAGAACCAAGCACCTGGCTTGAACCAAGGGATACCGCAACAGGGATGCAAGGCCTGAGAGGCTGCCCCCGCTGTGCTGTACAGCAGAGTCCAGGGATGTCACACAAAGACCATCTTAGCCCAGTGCTCACAAACATACTAATAAAGGCCATAAACAAGAACCACAACTAACAACAATGGTAAAGCAACTTACAATGAGATGTTGAACTTTACTGAAAGTGAGAAAAAGAGTGCTAAACTCAGCAGCAGGCCAGCAGCAAGGCCTAAAGTTGGCCACCAAGCATATCCTAAGCTGCCATATCCTGGGCCACCTCCAGGGGAGGCTCAAGCATCATCTCTTTGAGTTCTTAGGAACCAGCCAGTGTAAGCTTGGTAGCGATCCCAGGAGCAGCTGAGAGGAACCAGACAGGCCTGGGCTGTCTGGTGTTTATGCTCTGCTGCTCACCAACAATGTAAGCCAAGGCACAGTTTTCCATCTCCCTTAGCCTTAGTCTTCCCATCTATAAATGGAATAACAGCTGCCCACGAGAAGGCTGTGATGCTAATATGAGATGATGCCTGTAGACTGGGTATCAAAGTGCCTATTATATTCCCAAAATTCCACATAACCACAAAGGTAAATCTTTTCCTAAAGAGAACATGATTCACATTTTAAAATCAAGTAAGTCCAACCAGAAATATATGTGTCCTCATGCTCATTCTTTTTTAAAAATTTATTATCAGTGTGTATTGGGGGGCAGTGTATATGTAGGTGTGCAGGTGCTAAGGCACATGTGTACAAGTTAGAGAACAACTTTGTGGAGTTGATTCTCTCCTTCCATCTTTACATGGGTTCCAGGAATCGAACTCAGGTTGTTAGGCTTGCGCAACAAATGCTTTACCTAATAAGCCATCTCACTGGCCCACCCTTATGCACAATATGTATACAAATAAACTAACCCATATCGATACATAATATGTAGCATTCACAAATAAACTGGCAAGCTTCTAATACAGGAAACATTTGTAAAGGAAAAGACTCATTCTAAAAATGGAGATAATATGTACCTCATTGGCTAACAGGAGAATAAGTATATATAGACAGCATAAAATACTGCCTAGGGTACAGTATGTGCTGTATCACTGATTGCTATTTTGCTATCATTATTACTGATGCAGAGTGAGCAGACCAAATTGCGGAGACACTCACTGTAGCAGGCTACCCACCAGGTGCTAGAGATTCAACAGTGTGTAAGGCAAAACTCGGGTCCTACCCAAAGAAGCCTCCTGCTCTGTAACAGACCCAAATGTTAAGCAAAAACCCCACAAAACTACAAAAAGACTATTTGAAATAAAGATGCTAAAGGAAAGAGACTGGGTACTGAGGAGGAAGACAGAGTGCTTTCCACAGGGGTGATAGGTCTGTGTCAGCCAGGCACATGCTGAGTGCTCTCTCCCACTGATAGCAACCATACTATTTATAAGATGGCTGGGGAGATTAATGCTGCAATGTATGGCCAAAAAGCACCTGCCAGGCAGGACTCAAGCTACAGCCATGTATGACTACTATACCCCTAATCAATAACCTGTGACTGTGTTCATGAAAATACTTCTTCTCAACTGACCCTTAAAACTATGACCCTGTAGGCCCCAACCTTAGCCAAGGAACTACTGGCAGCTGATCACTGCTGGATGAAGGAGAACTGATCTTCTTTGGGGGAGTGACTCTAGATAGGCTGACTGGACTTCAGTGGATGAGCTCATTCTGAGGGACATCTGGGTACACAAACTTGACTCGACAGACCTTGACATGTATGACAGAATGCATGAAATCCAGTGGGGTGGGCTATGGGGGCCTGCAGATAGGGGAGGGGGTTCTGGATATGATTAACATGTACAGTATGAAATGCACAAAAATTCAATAAAAGTATACATTGAAAAAGAAGAAAAACCTATGTCCCTGTTATTCTTCTATTCATGCATGTGTTCATGAATTTAACAAATGACTACTTACTGATTTAGCCCATTTTCTGTTGACTTAACAAGTAACTCACTTATAAAGTGACTACTTACAAAGAAAAGGACTTTGCTTAGCCCAGTTTTGGAGGCTCAAAGTCCACTGGGCAGCCTCATCTGTTCCACCACTGGTAAAGACCCCTCCAACCATACTGTAACATGCAAACTGTGCAAAAAGAGCAAGTCCATGCATGGGCCAGCCTTGCTTGATAACAACTACACGCATGAGAACTGACTCTAGAAGACCATTTATCTCTTCTGGGGATGGTGATCTCAGGAATCTAGCCACCTTCCATTAGCCCCACCTCTTAAAAGTGCTATCATCTCACCATATTTCAACACTAGGGAACAAATTCCCTAGAAACGAACTCTTGGAGGACACTCAAATATGTCCGAGCCATATACTAGCCACGTGTTATGTATATATAACATACAGCCTATCTTGGTCACCATGTGGAGCATCTTACAATACATTAGAGTACCTCAGCAGTCACTTACCCTCTAATCTCAACTTCCTATTCAAATGAAAAATTATATATTCACTTAATAGTGATAATACATTCAATTAATATTGAGCTAGTCATGCTTCATCAAACTTAAAGCGCTACTAGCTTTTAAGCACTACTAAGTATGAACAGGAAGGAAAATAATGTTGCCAGCTTTTGTAAGATATCACCAGTTAGAAAACATCCCAATTTTATAAATGTTGTGAAGTAAAAAAATAAGTACTGGGCCTAAGGCAACAAAATGCCAGCCCTGTGGTGAACTGAATTAGTTTCCTATACTTAGGAGAAAGCTTTTGGAACAGCTTCAGTGTTTCTATGAAGCAAGTTCAAGGTCAGAAAATCAAATCACTTTCTCATGGCTACAATGGGACATTTGGATCAAGGCTACTTCATATTTTTAAAATCAAGATTTGGTTCTCAGGCTAGAGAAATGGTTCAGTGGTTAAAAGCACTGACTGCTCTTGCAGAGGACCTAGGTTTCATTTCTAGTACCCACATATGGTGGCTAACAACTGTCCTTAATTTCAGTTCCAGGGACTCCAACCTCCTCTTCTGGCCTCTGTAGGCACTGCACATACAGGGATACTCACACACAGGAAAAACATTCATATACATAAAATAAAAATAAATTTAAAAGGAACTGGAGAGGTAGCTCAGCAGTTAAAATCACTGGCTGCTCTTGCAGAGGACCCAGGTTTGATTCCCAGTATCCACATGGTGACTAACAACCATCCATAACTTCTGTTCCCGAGGATCCAACGCCCTCTTCTGACCTCCTCAGGCACTGCACACACAGGTGCACCTACCAACATGTAGGCAATACACTCATACACATAAAATAAAAATAATAAAACATTTTAAAAAATAAATTTAAAAAAATTTTTAGAACTTTTAAAAAATAAAGATTTGGCTCTTAGATGCAAATGGCAACAGACACTAGAACGGGAAAGTTCACCATTGAGTGTTTCCTTTTCCGTCTTTTGCTTTTAAATACTTCCCAGAGTCTACAAACAGTCTAGAAACTTGGCAAAGACATAAATAAGACAAATGACATCTTCGAGCAGGTAGTCACCTTCTCTACAAGTCACTGAGAGTGCCAATAAAGCGGCTTTAAACAAGAAGGCTCAAGTTTTCCAAGGCATAGGCTTGTGAAATGACCTGTCAGATCCGGGCTCCAGGACTCCTTGGAACACTGCCTAGATTTTCTCAATTTGCTTCCTCATTTGCCAAACAAAAGTGTGGGACTAACTGGTCTGTAAGATCTACTTTCTAAGGTTAAGATACCATAACGCTGTGCTTCAAAAAAATACTTCCTTTTTTTTTTTTAACAAAAACTTTATTGAGAATTTCATGCATGCATATAAGGTGTTTTGATCAAATCCATGCCCTCTCCCCCTCTGATGAGATAACCCTAAAATCTTTTAAGGGTTAGATGCAAGCTCCCAAATACTTGCTTTTATTACCTACTTATTCTGAAAGATTTGATTTACAGTAACTCCTGATTTATATTCTAAGACTTTAGAGCACTTTGTTTCATTTAAAATTTTCACCATTTCAATCTCAAAGGTGCTTAGAAAATTCTTAAACATTCTCATGGAAAAAATTCTCATTTCATTTTATTTCTCTCCTCACGTCAACTGGATTCTTCCCTTTCTTTCATAAGCCATAAAACTGTGGGATAGAGGGCAGCTTGGGGATTTCCAAGCTGCCTCTCCAACAGGGCCCTATAAGGTATCTATGACTATTTGTATTGTTGTTTTTTTATTTGAATCAATATTGCACACAATGTACCATCAACTGAAATTTAAGAGAATGGAGATTTAGCTCTTGAGCACCTCTAGTTCTTTTAACCCAGAGTCTAAACAATTTATAAGTACCTTTTAAAAAAAGTTTACAAAGTGTTATGTCACTGCTGATTTCCTACAGGAAGTGAAAACAGGCTTGGAAATGTGGCTGGTAAAAGAGGACTTCTAGGTCTGCCTGCCAACTTAAAGGTTTTTATACTTCAACTAGTTCTAATACAGAATATAGCACTTAGTAGAGACACTTCACATATGTAGGTACCTTAGTTTAGACCTTAGACCTCTCAGAGTTTTAATAACATGTTAATCACATGACTTTACTACTTCCAGACAACTCCAGCAACAGAAGCTAAATCTCTTTGTCTTGGAACCTAGATAGAAAAAAATTCAGTTCTATAGGATAAGGATTGTTAAGTATTGCTAAGAATGAACTTAAGGAACCAGTTCTGTTTAGACACTGTCTTCTAGATAGTTCTCCTATTAAGAAAGCAGTACCACTAGAGGCTAGGCGCTTTCAGAACTTTGGACCAGCAAGACTTCAGCAGAGACACTGGTACATGGGTGAATCACTCTTTGCCAGGCTTTCCCACCAAATGGGCTAAGCTGCACATCTGGCCTTCCACATCTTTGGCCACACTCGATTCCAGTTAAGCTAAATTAAGCTAAATTACAGCACCAACACACTGGTGCTGCAGCTCTGCTGACCACAGTGATTACTGGATACAACTAACCCTTTTCTTCCCTTCTCTCTAGAACACACTCAACTATCCTTTAAGTTATTCAATAAGAATCTCCAGAAAACTTTCCCAAATAAACTCAACTCTTTCCTGTTTGGCAAGGTTATCAAGCCAGACCTTTGTCCTCAATGTAACTACTGGGTACACATTCATCACTGACCACTTTTAGGACATAATTGTCTCAGGAAAAGAATTAAGTCTCATCTACTATTTGATACAAACAGAATCAGAAGCAAAGTGGGGGAGGGGAGCTCAATAACGATGAACTTTACTTAAATATCTATTACAGAAGAGCTATTAATTGACCTGCTTATTCTGCCCAGTGAACCCAGAGCATCCTATACATAATTTTGTCACTTTTAAAAACATCATCTCTTCAATCCAAATGTACCTGACAACCAATCGCTCACCAAAATTTTAATTAGAATCGTTTCTACTGTTTGTGATAGGGAAGAAAACGTTACACTTTACAAGCAATGTTGTCTGGTAGTCATTACAACGTGGTGTTTTCATGTGATTTGAGGCATTCCTTAGGAAATCAATTAAGTAAAAGGACTAGACCTGTTACACAGATTGTTTAGGAACTAGCCAGGCTGCATATAACCTGATGTGGTGGCGTCCAAAGTTTTGTCCTGCTAGAAACTACCTAACACAGGGACTTTGAAAGCAGCATTAATTTTCAAGAGTCAGCATTACTGAAAGACCCAGGGTAAGATTTCAGAAACGGATGTGTTCAGAGCGCCTAGTAGAGTCACTTCACATACGTAGGTCAAAGTGCCTGCCAGCCCTCAGCCTTCTAGACCGTCTACAGGGGCCATGCTGACCCTGGATGCGGAAGCCGCCTTTCCGTCGACCCTACTACACCCCAGAACGGTCAATTTCCTTCTGTATAAAGCACAGAATACCCAGGCATCCTCCCGGCAGAGTTCATCCCGGACCTCTGCACCCTAGGCTCCAAATAAAGGCCAGCCTAGACGCAACCCCCACCCGGACACGCGTCGTCGCGGGGGCAGGAACGTGTTTCCGGGTCTGCAGGACTCCATGACCCGAATCCAGCCTCCGCCCCGCAATGTCCCCATCTAGGTGTCCGGACACAGATTAGACAAAGCTCCCTCTACGGCCGAGAGCTACCACTATGGGGTCAGGCCCCCAAGACTGGCTCGCCCCCGCCTGGGAGGGCCCTGCCGCGACCTGCGCCAGGTCGTGGGGGCTCCGCGGACCCTGGAACCCGCACAGGCCTGGAAGACAAAGTCCGGATCCAACTCACGGAGGAAGGTGCGTGATAATAGGCGAGCGGCCCCGAGGCCGCTGCTACCGGAGACCATAGTCGCGGTGGCAGCTGCGGTGATCAGGGCTGCGGTCATCGCCCAATGACACTCCCAGACCCGGGGGGACCTGGCAAGGACCAAGCATGAGGAAGATGGTATCTAAGACAGTCGCCTGAACAATCTACTTTTCTCCGTGTCTGGCCTCTGGACAGTGAGAGTCATAAATGGAAAAGAAAACAAATGGTTGAATTCGAAAAGCAAATAAGAGCTCAGTCTTCTCGGAAATGTGGGTTCGGTTAACCTTAACCATACCGGCATCTCGAGGAACACTAGGTGAGAGGCCCGGTTGGCTCGTGGCATTGTGGGAAGGGTAGTTCTTGGTTTCAGCGTGGGCTGGTCCCAGAAAGGGAAGAGCAAGCATGGGAATTAAACTCCTTAGGGCTAGGTGAGGAGGGAAAGGAGTTACAGGACCGGAGGAGGGACCAGCAATGCAGTGTCCCAGGCCAGGGTACTGCACCTTGGTTTTCCTCCAGGGGCATATAGAGGAGGTAATACCCCCTTGCCTACCCTGTAAGTAGAATGTGTGAATTACAGAAGAGCCACAAGCCTCATTAGGGAGAGCCATAAATCCCTTAAAGTGTCTAACTGGCCCTAAATTGGCAGCCAATTGGCCCTAAATTGAGAAAGAATGTTTGTGGAGCCCACCTGTCTCCTCTGGGGCCATAGATAACACTCCTGCCAGTTTCTGGGGAACTAATCTTGAGACAGAGACCCTCAGTCACTCCAAGGACACTAAGCCCCAGCACTAACTCAATGCCCCACTAAGTGCAACTGTGTCCCACAACCCTGGTATAAACAGCCCCCACCCCGGTTTTGTCTAGTTGTAGATGCTTGGTTCCCGTGGACAGCCTCTACCTCTCACTGTATCTTCTTTGACTAAAGGAAGATCTGTTCCTTGCCTGTTGCAGGTCTGGCTCTGGTTTCTTGTCTCCTACTCTATCTTTCCTTTTATTTTCCAAAAATCTAACAGTAAGAATCTGTTAATTGCCCCTGAACTCACACTAGTGGCCAGTGAAGGGAAGAACAAAATACTAACGACCCAAAGGTTAGCCAAACTGACCTAAAGCCCTAGACTAGTGCTAAGTATATGAATGCCTGTTTCCTAAATCTGATATTCGAAATCAAATGTGACTTCTGCCCCATTTGGATAAATCATTTGCTCCTGTAATAACTTGAGAAGAAATTTCTGTGGTTCCAGAAGGATTAATCTGCTTTCTTACCTAAAACTGCATTCCTGAGAGGCCTTATATGATAAAAACATATCAATGGAGTTATTACTCTAGTTTACTAAGTTATAACTTGTGATTATAACGTTCACAAATCACAGACTGAACATGACTACAGACAAGCTCCTTCCTTGTCTAGCAGATTCTGCCCTTATGGTAGAGTGCTTTCCAAATAGATCCAGTATAAAGACTAGTTTCAAAATACTTATGATTTTATGTGTACGAGTGTGCTGCTTGCATGTATGTAAGTGCACCCATGTGCACCCAAAGAGGGCATCGGATCCCCTGGAACTGGAGTTATGGGAGGTTGTTAGCCACCATGTGGGTCCTGGGAACCTAACCCTCTGTAAGAGCAGCCAGTGTTCTTAACTGCTGAGCCATCTTTTCAGTCCCTGAAGACTAGTTTTAAACAACACAATTCTCCCTGAGCCTTTAAACATTTCATCTTATTTTGGTTAATGAAACACATTGTGAAAATATCACTACAATTTTAAAGAATTGGAAATCACATGAAGACCAAGATTTTAGTTTGTTCTGTACACTGATATATCCCTAGGGCCTAGAGCAAGTCCTCACACAAAAAAGAACTCATTATGTGCTGAGCTGAAATGATACATAGGGGAAATAGTGTGTATTTATGTATTAACTTTACAGTGTTTGATAGAACCAAAGATTTTTCAGTCCCCTGTATTAACTACCAACAAAAGGACACAGGAGTCGAGTCCTAGAGGAGGATATATTAGCTAATTATTTTTCTAGTTTCAACCCTGTTGTGGTGTTTGCCCCCCCCCCCAGTGGTAAGTGCATAAAACTGTAATTGACAGTGAAATTGTTAAACCTTAAGCAAAATGCCATGGCTTGGAATAGCCATTCTAATTATGTGGAGAAGTTCATTGACATGTACAGAGTTTGGGACTGGGCAAGTCTTTGGTTAAGTGGCTACTTTAGCTAAGTGATATTTATAATCTGTGAATTCATTACAATGTAGTGATTTTTATTTAAAAAGCAAACAAGCAAAAAGCTATACCACACCTCAATTCTGTAGCTCATAGGTGAGAGGAAATTGCACTATACAGTAACTGTGCCACTCTTTAAATGCACGTGGAGTTTCAAAGATCTGGAAGTATGTTCCATGTCTTACCACTGGGGTTCAGATTTTCTCATTGAGGTGGAATTGTAAGGTTTAGGAAAATCGGCATGCTTGAGTGGATTCACAGTATAAAACACAATGGGAGGGCCCAGAGGACATGACTTTTACTGATTTTATAAGACAGAAAATACTGAGAGAGGCACCAGCACATTTGAAGAACTTCGTTTTTGCTCTTTCCCCTGTGCCAGATCTTAGAGTTGGAGATGCCGCTGCGCAGTTCCATCAATTAAATGTAAATAGAATGGGCTTAAGAGGACCTAGACCCGAATGGACCTTTGGTACTGGCTAATCAATCATGGTGTTTTCAGGGGCCAAATACATAAGAAGCCTACCAAGTTTTTATTTGATCTGTTTAAGCAGAAAAGTTCTAGAACAAATGATAGAAAGTTGACAGTGTATCATAGCAATAGAGAATCCCATCCAGTCAACCAATTTCCAGACTTGAGACAGTTTACAGACCCAGAGCCCCTTGAATGAAGGGTAGCCTAGCTTCCCTTGAGGAAGGACCTTGCCTAATACCAAATGGTTATGCTGTTTATCTTTCTCCCATCCTTCCCCCAGCCTTTTTCTAGAGTAACTGTACATTGGGCAACAGGAAATAATCAGACTTTCCAAGGCCTATTGGATACTGGTTTTCAGTTGACACAGATTCCTGGAGATCCTAAAAAGCATTGTGGCTCTCCAGTTAAAGTACTGGCTTATGGAGGTCAGGTGATAAATGGAGTTTTGGCTGAAGTCTGACTCACAGTGGGTCCAGTGGGTTCCTGAACTCATCTTGTGGTTATTTCTCCAGTCCCAGAATGTATAATTGGGATAGATATACTTAGAAATTTGCAGAATCACCACATTGGTTTCCTGACCCTTGGAATCAGGGTTATTATGGTTGGAAAGGCCAAATGGAAAACACTGAAGTTGCCTCTGAGACCAGGGAAAATAGTAAACCAAAACCAGTACCCCATGCTTGGGGGGATTGCAGAAATTAGTGCCACCATCAAGGATTTGAAAGATGGAGGGATGATGATTCCCACCATACCTCCCTCTAACTCTCTCTTCTTGTGCAAAAGACCAATGGTTCATGGAAAATGACAGATGACTATTGAAAACTCAATTAACTAGTAACTCCATTTGCAGTTGCTGTACCAGATGTGGTTTCCTTACTTGAGCAGATTAATACATCTCCTTACCTGGTATGAAGCTATTGATCTGGCAAATGCTTTCTTCTCAATACCAATTCATAAGGACCACCAGAAGAAATTTGATTTTGGCTGGCAAGGCCAACAGTATACCTTTCCTGTCCTTCCTCAAGGGTATATTAATTCTCCAGCCTTGTACCATAACATAGTTCAAAGGTATCTTGATCACCCAACTCTTTCACAAAATACCACACTAGTCCACTATACTGATGACATAATGCTGATTGGATCCAGTGAGCAGGAGGTAGCAGACAGTCTGGATTTGTTGGTAAATCATATGTGCATGAGAGGATGGGAAATAAATCCAACCAAAATTCAAGGGTCTTCTACCTCAGTGAAATTTCTGGGAGTTCAGTGGTGTGGAGCATGCAGAGACATTCCTTCTAAGGTGAAGAGTAAGTTGTTGCACTTGGCCTCTCCCTCCACCAAGAAAGAAGCACATGCTTAGTGGGCCTGTTTATATTCTGGAGGCAGCACATTCCTCATCTGGGTGTGTTACTACGACCCATATATCAAGTGACTCAGAAGGCAGCTACCTTTGAGTGGGGCCTGGAACAGGAAAGGGCCCTTCAATAGGTCCAGGCTGCTGTACAAGCTGCTCTGCCCCTTGGGCCATATGATCCAGCAGACCCTATGGTGCTTGAGGTATCAGTGGCAGATAGAGATGCTGTTTGGAGTCTTGGCAGGCGCCCAGAGGGGAATCACAGTGGAGGCCATTGGGATTTGGGAGTAAGGCTTTGCCTTCATCTGTGGACAACTATTCTCCCTTTGAGAGACAGCTCTTAGCCTGCTATTGGGCCTTAGTGGAAACTGAATGTTTGACCATACAACCTGAGCTGCCTGCCCATCAAGAGCTAGGTGTTATCTGACCCAACAAGCCATAAATTAGAATGTTCACAGCAATAATCCATTATCAAATCAAGTAGAGCAGACGACCTGTTCTGTGGACCATCAGTCTCTTTTTCCAGCTATCCCTGTCATTGCTCAGTGGGGTCAGAGATGGAGGCAGAGGTGGAGGCTATGCATGGGCTCAACAGCATGGACTCCCACTTACCCAGGCTGATCTGGCTACAGCTGCTGCTGAGTTCCAGATCTGCCAAGAGCAGAGACCAACATAGAGCCCCTGATATGGCACCTTCCCCCGGGGTGACCAGCAAGCAAAGCTGGTGGCCTGATGACATTGGATCACTTCCATCATGGAGGGGACATTTATTCTGGTTATGGATTTTCCTTTCCTGCACATAATGCTTCTGCCAAAACTACCATCCAGGGACTTACAGAATGCCTATCCACTGTCATGGTATTCTGCACAGCATTGCTTCTGACCAGGGAACTCAATTCACAGCCAAAGAAGTGTGACAGTGGGCCCATGGTCATGGAATCCACTGGTCTTGCCACGTTCCCCATCATCCTGAAGCAGCTGGCTTGATAGAGCGATGGAATAGCCTCTTAAAGACACAGTTACAGTGCCAATTAGGTGGCAATAGCCTGAAGGGCTGGAGCAGGGTCCTCCAGAAGGCAGTGTATG